TGCAACGTTTCCCTATGTGCATTGTGCCTTTGTGTGATGGAACTGAATAAAGGGGGAAAAAAAAAAACTTTAATACTGACATGGTGAAACTTTAAGAGCCATTGAATTAAAAAGGCGTTTAATTGTTTGTCAGCCCGTTGCATCTGACCAGCGTCCGCGCTGCTGAGGCCCGCCCATTTTAAACTGTTTTCTTTCTAATCGGCGCTCTACATGCTTATTTTATTTCTGTGATACAGATGCTGCCCCTGCACCTCCCCTTGACGTTTGAAGCCGTTGCCATGACACCGGACCTGATTTTTTCCAGCTGAATTACGCACTTTCTTATGAAAATTAGTTTCATTTGTTGTGCTTTTTGCGCACGCATCCGCTGATGCAGACCTGCAAACGTTTCTATTAACGCACAATGTTTATTTTATGTAATTCTATCTATCTATCTATCTATCTATCTATCTATCCGTCCGTCCGTCCGTCCGTCTGTCCGTCTATCTGTCTGTCTGTCTGTCCGTCTGTCCGTCTATCCGTCTGTCTGTCTGAAAAAAGGCCCTTGAAAGTGGTTCAATATGAAATACTAAGTTAAATATTAAATATTTATAATTAAATACGTGAAAGACCCAGTCACACACACACACAAACACACACACACACAGCTATAGACAGGCTCTAAAAGCTGCCAGGGCCGAGCATATCCACAGACTCATAGAAAATAACCAAAACAATCCAAGGTTTTTATTTAGCACAGTGGCTAGATTAACAAATAACCAGAGGCCACCCGATCTAAATATTCCCTCACAGTTTAATAGTAATGACTTTATGAATTTCTTCACTGATAAAATAGATAACATCAGAAATACAATAACAAATGTAGATTCTACAGCATATAATACTTCAGCTTCATTCATCGCACCAAAAGATAAACTGCAGTGCTTTACAATTATAGGACAGGAAGAGCTAAATAAACTTAGCCCCATCTCAAATCTTCCTTTTTTGTCTAAAATTTTAGAAAAAGTTGTCTGCTCAATTGCGCTCCTTCCTGCAAAAAAATGATCTCTATGAAG